ATTTAGCGATGTTTAGCGAGTTGGCATTTAGCAGCTAATGATTAGCATTCTCACTACCCGATCCGTCCTGGAAGCACGATCAGCAGCATCAGCTCATTCACACATGTGCAACCAGATATACATCCGGGTTTCCATAAATAATGTTTATGGAAATTATGGTACTAAAATTACTTTTTCTACCTTAACTGCCATATGTGGACGGACTGTATATATATCCCATGCACCTTTTTTTTCCCTTTGGCGCATTCTTCTTCTTTGATTATTTGAGCTGATGTAACAAGTAAATTTCTCCACTGTGAGATCAATAAAGTCACTCAATCAATAACTCACTAAAGTATGCTAATACACATCTTTAAAAAATGTTTTATGACTTTTCTGAAACAATTTTGATGCTTTTTACATTCTCTCTGTTAAACTGCTTGTCTTGCGTCATAATGGGACATGCTCATAGTAGAGTCCAGCAAAATATGATTAAACCATGTTTATCTGCATTTTAGTAGTTTTTTTTCTTTAGATTACGCACTATATAGCATAATGCTAACACGAGGGGAAAACATAAAACTCAAAAGTTAGGTCTCTTTTACTAATTAAAATCGAGGGCAACTCAAATGTTAATATGGATGCTCTTGCGCAAATGAAATTTTGCTTCAGAAAAAGATCAGCTAGTGACACTCAGGATCAGATGTAAAAAGGACTCAGAGAAGTGGTGCGCAAAGAACAGTGGACGTGACATGTGATTGGCTGCTGCATGTGTACAGTAACAGATCTCTGCTTAGTCAAGCTGACTTTATATGACATGTATTGATTTTCTTAATATACACATGAAAAATTGACAATGACAGAAAAGATTAACTATGGAAATAAATAATTTTAGAATTGAAAATCTGTGCAAAAAAAAGAAGAAGAAAAAACACTTTTCATGTAGAAGTCATTTAAGGTAAATCAAATCTCTTAGTTAAACCATGTTTTTACACCTGGGTTACAATAAAATCTAAGCAAAAAGATAAATTCTTCCAACACCTCATCTTTCTGTCCTCTAAAATTATGTCACATAAGTCTCTTCATTAAGGGAAGTATAGCTTGCACTGAAGCACTCGCAATTAAGATAAGCAGAGCCACAACTGGACAATTACCTGGCAACTAACCTTTCCTGAAGGCACTTAAGATCGTAAGGGCCTCCAGGGATAGATGTTTCCTGAGCAGAACGAGCTCTTCAACAGCCTTGAGAGAGGGAGTTAGGATGTAATGTATGAGAATGAAGGCAAGGCGATCCAGTTACAAAGAGAGGTAGAGAAAATGATAGAAATGGAGAAAAAGACAGTATCATGGTGAGATTACCTAATCCCCCTGTCTGAGAGGGGTGTTTGAAGGGGCTGTTGGTGTCAGACAAGAGGGGGCTTTGCAGAGGGTTTACCCAAGAGAGGCCAGCTTAACCAGGAGAGCACCAGGTGACCAGTGCTCTCTCCCTCTCTATTTCTCTCGCTCTCTGTCTCTCTTTTTCTATCCCTCTCTCAACCACAAACCTCGGATTGTGGCCTTGTAAACACGGTTAAATTGATTGCAGGCAACCAATGAGATTTCCTCTCAGCCTGGGTCATTATTGCATCGTACATCAGCTCTTTTTCACCCACACTGAGGCTTGTATGGATCATCACTCTGTTTTACATTCTCATTTATAATGTAAGTGACAGTGTTTTTCTGTCATAAGCCCGTATCTATCAGGTTGAACATGCAGAGATGCAAAATATGCAGTGAATTTTTAACTTTATCAATTCATATTTTTTAAGCTCTTGTAAGAGAGTTGCTTTCCACCGTTTTACACAACAGGGTGAGTTTCAGCGCTATATGATATCTGATCTCCAAAAGCCCCGCAGGGTAGCCACAGCAAATCAACAGTGAATTAATGGATGCGGTTCAGCTCATAAATCTCTGCGGGACTGGAAAGCATTCAAGGACAGTCAGCCTGTAGTGGTGTTCTTAATGTTACAGGCAGTTTGGATTTCCCATCGTTCAAGGCAGTGACAGAGTAGTAAAGATGTGACAGCATCTTATGTCTGTGTTAAATCAGTGGACGTCAGGAATGCTAGATCACAAGTCTGTGAAGCTGAGCTGAAAGCTACACCAACACAGACTCCAGGGCTATAGATTTGTTTGGAAATAACTCCATTGCTCTTCCATAGGTTTTGGTGTAGAGTGGAAAGGAAAGGCAGGGAGGGGAAAAAGGATGTGCCCTAATTCACCGGGGTCAGTACAACCCTTCAACCTTAGCCCGTTGCAATGAGGCCTCTGCAATAGATCACAGTGGTTAGCAGTTAGCTGCTCTTGCAGGTGTGTAGGGAATGGCCATAACAGCTTCCATTACTGGTGAGAATGGCCCAACTCCTGAAGCCCCCTCCAGACAGAGCTGTCATTACCCATCCATTGTGAAGCCTGAGAGGGAGCAGTAAGTATGGCAGACTTATGGCTTTGTTAAAGCGACAGGATGGTCTCCTTTGGCCTGGGCTCTGAATGGAGAGGGAGGCTGATACCGAAAGTTAGCTAGACAGAGTGATGGAAGCTGAATATGAGGATGAATTGAATCCCTCCAACCCTTGGTGCCCCACCACCACAACAGCACCACCCCTTGATGTGCTTCCAACTAGCCTATAGTGCAAGCTGTTAAGGTGGGCTGGGTTATTTGGTGCTATTTTTACAAGAAACAGGGTTGATTTGTCTTAGGCCATTACCGTCTATTACAGCAGCAAGTCTCGGGGAAAAAGGTGGGAAGCGGCAGACGCTGGCATTCTGCCTAAAGAGAAATCAATGAAACAAATTAATCCTTCGCAGGCTGCAGTGACACTGTAATCCATCATTCAGGGGGCGCTTTTACACACTGAAAAAGAGAGCAAAGGAAGGGAGGAGGAAAAGAGATTGGCGGCTGTGTGGTTGGTTGAATGCTAGTCAGGGGGGGCAGGGGTGGCGGGGGGGGGGAGCAGAGTCCCTCTGAGATGGGGGAAGACATCCACGGCTCGGTAACAGTGGGGTACCGCTGGGTGCTGGCGGGGTACTGAATGCTTCTAAGCTGCTTCTTTTCGAACCCTTGAACTGTCTGTCTGTGTACCAGCTGAGAGGAAGAAGGAAGACAATAGGATGTAAACCCAATCAGCTGGACTAAGCTATGGACATAGACATGACTATGATTACACAGAAATGCCTATTCTTGATTTTCACTTGTTTTCTGTCCCCTGCTGGCTACTTTAGTCATAGCAAGCTTTTTGCTAATAGTTACATCTTTATAATGTATTCATGCGGATATAACAGGTACAACATGGCTGTTATCAGGACAGTTCACTTTTCATTTAATTCATTGGCTGTGAAGATAAATTATTCCTAGTATTATGTCCATGTATATTTTTGTGTTTAGGAGTTATTCATAACAGCAGACTGGTTTCCAGGTGGTACTACTCCCAAATATGCCGCAAACTGACTACCCTCTTAACAAAAAAGACCCCCCCGTCCCATCGACCCCACATAACCTAAAACACTACCTCTACCTTATTATCTGAGTAAGAAAGCTGCACGAATGAAACACAGATTAGCTATGGTGATGCCCCAGCGCACAGCCAATTAGAGATCAGAGCTTGCCATGTGATTGAGACATGTGATCAAGCTTTTCTGTGAGGAAACAGTCTTGTCCAGTCCAAGAGGCATGTGAAGCAGCTGTACCCTCCAATGAATCACAGAGCAGCTCACATTAAATGTGATCTTTATTAGGATTATTTGCTGTTACGTTTCTTTTTAGAAACTGCCCGTTACATCATTGTACATGTTAAAAGCATCACTCACTCCATCTTCCTACATGGCATTAGAATTAGAAAGCTGTGAGTTATTGCAGCACCTGGACCATTTCATAGGGATGGTTATATTATAACACCTATTTCATTTAAAAGAAATGTTTAATAAACAACAACCCACTTACCTTAACCAGTGTTTCTGGGAATACAGATTGAAAACTCCTCACAATCATTCTAAACACACAGGTAGTTGCATTCTGTTATGAGAAAATCAGTAAGAACAGTGGGTGGAAAGAGAGAGAGAGAAGGGAAAAGGGCTGAGATTAGGATGAGTGGGGTGGCACAGGGAGAGGAAGTTTGAAGTGGAGATGGAAAGTGTTTGAAGGGGGGGAATGGAATAGAACGGAAAGGATGGAAAAATGTGGGGATATTGCAGCAGAGCGGATGGTGTGAGGGAGGCAGAGTGAGAAATGTTGCCGGAAATGCTAGAGCCAGCAGCGTGTGTAAAAAACCTCAGTGCAACATTTCTCATACTTGACATCACTGACAGGCTTTCCACACACACACACAAGCACACCCACAGAACAGTGTTGTGTGTTCTCAAAGTGCAGGGTTGAAACATTTCAAATCTTCTGCAGAGCTTCCTTCTCTCAGATCCCATGGGGGTTTTTTTCTCTGTTTACTGTACGCAAGGCACATGTTAGCTAAATTGAATTTATTCATGTTATAATTACTAATCTGACCAGCAGGTGCCCTCAGAATCTCCAAGTAAACATCATCTGCAGTTAAAGAGGAGATGGTCAGAAAGGGCTGAGTAATGTAAGGAGGAGGAGAAGGAGCACAGAAAATTGTTCTGGAATGTTTGCTGCTCTAGTAGAAGATGAACCATCTCATTTGTCAGGGTTTGACCCTAGCTCTGGGGTCAAAGGTCACAATCTAAAGGAAAACTGACTGACTATCACACACACACACAAACAAACGTGGCAGTCTTTTGCTTTCACAAATAATTCACAATCATCTGAGGTCTGCACAGATAACCTATAATGTCCATACTCTGTTTTTGTTTTGTTTTGTTTTCCTGAAGATGATCTCTTGCTATAATAATAAAGCAAACTCTCTCTTATTTTGTGCTTTAGATGATCTCAGCGACAAATTCTGCAAAAAGAACACATCCAAATAACAAAAAACAGAATTTTTTTCCCCCACTTATTCAATAAATCAAGAGTAGAAATTTACAGCATCTTTACTTTATAATAAACCTACAGTTTGAACAATGATGAACCCTCATTAAATTATTGGAATCAAAAAGTGTAAACTACACATGCGTTAATTCCTATAACTCCATAATTTTCAATAGTTACTTTGTATGGAATTCCATTTATAATATATGTTCCCACTGTTATCTGCAATAGCTTTAGAATAGAAATAAAAATAAAAAGACATTGGCAGAATAGATCTTAAAGAAAACTGAAATCAATCAGAAAAGGCCTAATTGGTGCATATCTTAAATAAATGAAAAAAATTGTTCCTGTTTTTTATACAATGCCATTTATCAGTTTACAATCAAAAGACAAAAGAGTAAAAATTTGAACCAAACTTGAACAAAATATTCTTTAGTTGCAGGTTCTTTTAATATTGTCATAGATAAACTATCAGGGTCTGAGAAGCATCTTTATAAGTCATCAATATCATTTTATTTGTACATCCTCCTATGAAACAGCTGAAGTTTGGGTCCCAGAAAAGCAAATGACAGTTTTTTCTACATCTTAAACTCCAAAATGAGGATGAATTTAACCCATACATAAATCTCTATCCTACTAAACAGTGACATCCACTTCCTACAATCAAACAGTATAAGTCGAATCAAGTTCCAGCATCTCAGTCCTTCTTCCACCGTGTGTTTGGAACACCTCCTGTAGCTGCAGCACTGTGAGCCTGAAGAGAAACAAAGTCAGGTTAGGAAGTGCAAGTTTATCCCCAATCACTCGCACAAACGTTGCTTCATATTGCAAATTAAAGGGAAGATAAAGCAGGCAGAGACTATGTGGGTGGCCTGCTGCAGTGACCCACATGAACACAGGACACCTGTGAGTCATATCATGTTAGGACGATGGCTGACAGCGGCTGCACCTTGAAAATGTAGGTGATGAAATGACTGCAGATCGGTTACAGTTCTGAATCACTGAGTCACACATATCTGCTTAAAAACACAGCATTAATTGTCTATTTCATGTAGTCTGTTCAGCCGATAAAAAAGACGGGAAATGCAAGGGGGCTGTTATTCAAGTCTTTGAGATGCATTTTAAAAGGTACACCTTTGTCATTCTTTGGCCAGAGACATCAAACAGGTGCCATGAATAATTTATCTTAAGAGTTTCACATTGATAAGGTCACAATCTGCCACGTCTGGACACTAAATGCAAGCCATCTTCACTTCACTGACGTCTTACACACACATGTGCCCCCCACGCCGACAAACACACTTGTTTTAGATGAAAAAACACAACATTTCATCAGACCTGTGCCAGTGTGTATGCGTGTGGGGGGTGGATAGATTATAAAGAAGTATATATTTAAGTTTAACATTTTTTTTATTAATATTAACTCTTTGGATCAAGATTTTATATGCTACCTGAAGGGGCGTCTCTTAGCAGAATATCACTGTGGAGAATGGACACCTCTGTTTGAATATACAGCAAACTAAGCTCCTTTCTTAGCCCCAAGGATTGTCCAGTTTGAGAATAATGCTAAAAAAAATATATGTTAGTGTGAAAAGAATGATTAGGCCATGTATTTACTTTGATCAGATTATTTAACAAACAAACATCACTGGTTATTAAAGGAATGTTATATATTTTTTAAATTCTGTCAAGCTTTCCTGTACTTCTATGTGAAAATTACTTGATTAAGTTCATTGCGTATCTAACCTATTTTAAGGTCATGTAATATAGGTTAATATATTCAATTATCTATAAATCATCACTCTGTTAACATTATATTTAAACTATATCTATTTTTTTAAGTCATACTGCCTTCTAAGTAGTTCTCCTGGGTTCCCAAACCTACCAGAAGCCACTAAGCAGCTGCAAATTTCCCATATATCTCAGGCCGGCTCAGTATGCTGCATTAAAGGGCTCATTCACTCCAAGATGCAGCCTGTTGAAGGTTCAGCTAAACTACCTTTCTAATTAAGCTCATGCTGTGTGTTGGTTTGGGGAATAACTCATGGGAAATCCTAACGCATAAGATGTAGTTACAACAAGCAAATATAAAGAGTCAAACTCATTTAGCAAGGGGTTCTTTTAAAGTTAGAAGTTTAGTAATCGCTGTTCATTTTTCAGTCAAAACTGGCATTTTTTTTCCTTCCTCTAACAGTAAATAATTTTGACACTGACAAGAATAAGATACACACCTCTACTACATTAACCATTTCCCCAAATCCCTCAAATACACACAAAATAAAACAATAAAAAAAAAAAAAAAAACATCAGTTCCTGCTCCATCTTATCTTTTTCTTTTTATTAATCATTTAAGGTTTTGGTGCAAAAAAGAAAAAAAAAAACTTGTGCGCTGTTTGTCGGGCGGTAAATCTACTTTCTGCCCCTGAACTATATATCTTGGCTGTGTTGTCGGATAATGTGAGGTTGGGATGAAAGGTAATCTGCGTGCAGAATTCCTAAAGCTCCCTTATGCTTGTTGAATTTCTCAAGAATTCCACCTTTGCCCCACAGTTTCCCTAAAATAAATTACTTTAAAGGTTAGATGCCTGCGCAAATGCAGCCCTCTTATTGTCCTGTTTTTAGTATATATATATATAATATTTTTTTTATTTAGCGATATCCTATAAAAACTATCATACATTTTCCGAAAAAACTACCTGGTAAACCGCTTAGATCATTCAAGATAAATGATGGATGATGCATGTGGCTGAAAACGTAGAGCAAACTTTAAACCCCGCTTCCTGCAGTCAGTCTAATAAAGCATTTCTTCTCTCACTTTTCTGTTTGTTTCGCTTCAGCTGCTAGAAAGAGGAGCACGCACGCTGCTAAAAATCACTTTCCTCCCCTCCTCTCTCCTCCCTCCTCAGCCTCTTCCTACTTAAACTTTGGTTTTTGGGGTGTTCTACCAAATTACAGTGTTTGCATTTGTAGAACCACGAGGGTTTCAGCTCTAATGGATTTATAATCTCCGTCTCTGGGACCATCCAAAGTAATTAGCACGCAGAGCTCTAAACGAAATGATGGTTAGTGAGCAATAAAGCCAGAGCCCATTGCAGAAAGTGACAGTGGCTCTGACTTGGTTCAAACCTCAGGAGTAATTGGGAGACTCGTTGTAGTTATTGTCTTCAATTAAAGTGATGGAAATAAATACTTCAACTGTAGCTGGAGTGTAGGATAATTTACAGTTGAACTTTTGTCTCTTTTATCACAGACTTATATAAGTTGTGTAATAATGATAAAACAACAGAATTTTGCAGGGTTTGTTTTTTTGTTTGTTTGTTTGATTGTATTTGCTTCTTGAAATTTTAATCACAAATGTAAATTATCCACAAACTGTCAATGCATCTTCCAGAAAGGCTATAGCAAACCTTTTTATTTGTTTATATTGGATGTTAAACGTTCAGCACAGGATCAAGAATAGCTATACCTTTTCTCAATCCGCCTAGAGTCATTAGATTTCTCTTTGCTAACATTTTTTTTTTTATCCATTTGCAGGAAAATAAATGCAAGGTAACTTCTACGCCCTTTTAGAGACCCATGTGTCCCCTCACAATAATCTAGGGGTCAGATTAAAAAAGGAATTCCCCCTTTTACCCTTCCTTCACACAGCCTCCATAAACTACAAAATCCCAATTGCATTTGATTCTTTTTTTTTTGCTGATTATATATTGCAAATGCACAAAATTGTTTGTAGGTTGTTTATAGTCCTGATTTCAGGGTTTTATGTCCCAAGTTTAACGTTTTAGGTCAAATTACACATTTATTTGTCATTAACAACGCCATTTAATATGTGTTCTATTTGGACTAAAGTAAATAATTAAATTGTAAGCTAAAACAAATCAGATCATTAACCCAGTTGGAAAAGTAATTAATGTAAATGTTTAGACAAAGATTAATGATAATACAGCTCTTATACCATCGTAACCCAATCTATTTTTTATTTATTATAATTTGAACTCCAGCAGTTATCTTGTAGGCTATTCTGTATTTTTTTTCTATCTTATCTTTGGGCTCATAATGCATCTAATGTGCTGTCAAATGCTAATAGCATGTAAAATATTGTTATTGCACAGAGCCTGGGGAATTTCTCACTATGTTCCAACTACGGAAATGACCTTTTCCACAAACTTTCCCTGTACTCTACAGAAACCTAGAGTGAAGTCATAAATGTGGCTCAATCTAAGTCATTTCATAAATATCAAACTATTGAATCAAATTGCACACATAAATTTGACAATTAGTTTTTTGTTTGGTTATTTTTTTTGTGTGTGTTATATTACTATTATTTTGCAGGTGTTAAAGGGGCATGGGATGTTTGCCTCTGAGGGCCCAGGGATGGGGGAAATCACCCTGTAAGCCCACACAGTGTCCTATTGACTGCAGCTTTGGTTAGAATCTTGATGTGATTACACACAATCAATAATAAACCTACCCTCAGCCATTTATAAAGCTCTGTATCCGTCTGCAGCAGTTTAGGAACCTCTAAAGAGCGTTGTTGCTTCATGTGTTGTTTTATTTAGGGGGGAGAAATTGTGGGGGGAGGGCGGGTGCACTTGTGACCTCAGTGTTTTCCCAACTGTTTGTGCTGCTTTTCTCGGTGATTTCTGTATTTGGTGGAAGCCCTAAAACATATTGATTCTAGATTAAGCAAAACTCCAACGTGCTTCCCGTATAAATGTTTAATTAAGCTCATTTGTAAAAACTATTATAGGTATGCAATCATGCAAGATGGGCTATTCTGGTGCAATAAAATATTATATATATATATATATATATATATATATATATATATATATATATATATATATATATATATATATATATATATATATATATATATATATATATATATATATATATATATATATATATATATATATATATAGTTTAGTAAAGTAAAAATTTCAGCTTCTCACTCTGTTTCTACATAAAACAAATGGTTAATATACTTATTGATAGAATTAATTCATGATTTTACGCTTACTTGATTGGTAGCTTTGATTTATTTTAAGATTGGGTTGAAACTTATAAAGGAAGACCGAAAATAAATATGATCACATTTAAAATGATTAATTAAGATGGATTATCACGCGGGGTGGGGGGGAGATAAAGTGGAATGCAAATAGATATACTTCTAGGGTAAAGTTAACCTGGGCAACATTGGCATAAAAGCCTAATGCTGCTGTTAATGCATAACAAATATCGGTGCACCGCTGATTAAATTTTACGCGCATATTTTCATTTTACTCTCCTTGTGTTGGATTCACTATTCGTAGCTGAACAGGATCTGGAAGAAGAGCCCCGTCTGGATCACAGTTATAATTCGGTGACACTATCGCTGAGACAAACGGAAAGCTATTGATCTTTTCATTATGCGTTCAGGAAACAAACTGATTTTAATGGGAGCAAACAGAGAATGCCTCTCATGTCCCGCTGCAGAATACAACCGAGCTTTTCTAGGTTGTCTGTTGATCTGGTCCGCAGGAGGAAACTTGCAAAGGGTGCGATAAGCCGCGGCGATGTGCTCGAAAGAGAATAAATAGATGCTTACCCTCAACTAAATGAAAAGTTTCCACTCTGCATGCACCGATGGTGAAGTGGCGCGACTCGGATAATTCCTCCCCACATTAAGATCGACGCGCTTGTTGCTAGAGTTAGAAATAAGTGAAAAACAAACAACAAAAAAGTGCTTCTCACCTTCTCTGTGTGCGTAAAGCTGCTGCTCCTGCGCCAGCATCCCGCCCGTCCACTTTCTCCGCGCGCAGGTTTCTATCAAAGCCTCTCCAATATATCTACCCCGCTTCCCATTCCGCTTCCCCCTCTCACTCCTCTCCTCTCTGTTCTTCTTCCCTCATGCGGACCCACTTTCTTTTAGCGTATGTGCGGAGTTAAATCTTAATGATACACCAAAGGGGGGAAAATGCTTTGTCCAATTTAATCTTATTGGTTTCACCTTTTCAGAGAGCTGGAGACATGGCCGGAGAGTTTCCATGGTGTGTGTGTCCGATACAGGGACAGTCAGAGAGAGCTCTCTTGTTGAATATCTAAAAAAACAAGCCATCCTTCTTACATGCTGCTTTCAAACAGGGCTGTTGCATATTAATGCTATGTTATATCTTTTTTTATATATATAGTATATCTATTGGGGTCCATCCTAAATACTCTGTTGTCTTAAAGTAGCCTTTATGACTTGAAAAGTTTGATAAGCTTGTAGATTAAATTTGAACTTTTTTACTTCGTATTTATATATATCTGTATAAATTATGCGCCATTTTAAAGCACGTTGAAATAATTCTGTGGAATTTACTGATCTAATTAATACTTTTTTCTTAATTATTTGTTTTTGTCATCAGACAGCCTTAGCCTGTCTAATTTAGTTGCATGAGCTGCGCAAAACAATTTGGGCACATTAAAACGTGTTTTATTTTATTTTATTATTATTAATTCATAAGTTTAAACGCTTAAAAATGCAAGTTTGATGGCTTGTACGTTGATTATTATAGGGGTGTAATTACACAACGTACGCTAGATGGCAGCGCGCTCCAGACATTTTTGAGTCTGAGAAGCCTGCAGAAACACTGATGCATAAAAGCTGCAATCCCCGTGAAAATCCCCCGTAACTTCACTCGATTTTGAATTCATCTCATCATTAACACATAAAGCCACTCCCGTGTAAGTGTTTGTGAGACTGTGGGATGTTGGTAATTGTTAAACATCGTTTCCAGTTTCGAGAAATTGCCCGCATCTGAAAAACACATCCGGCATAACGCGGTATTTGCGCATCGTTTCTCCACGGTGATAATTTCCTAAACTGCTTTTAAACTAAATTATAAGTTTTAATGAGCAAATCTGGTGGCGATTACAGCCGATCGCTGTACCGCAATGCGCATGCCAAGGACACACACACGCACACAAAAAAAAAAAAAAAAAACAGCGTGTGAAAATATTAATCCGCTCCAAAGCAGCAGAGACCCCCGTTAGTTTTATAATAAAGACAACAGTCCGAGACAAGGCATTTTGAAACTTTAAGGGGGGAAATCTGAGTCAGATTCCCCCCTTTTGGTCGCTGCGCACAGTTTTTGGTTTTATTTGTCGTGCTTAAAAGCTTTACCCTCAACCCTCCACCACCACCACCTCCTCTCTCTCTCTCTTTCTCTCGTCTTCTCTCTCTCCCTCTCTTGCCTTTAACCCGCTTTTTTCGCTATTCTATCCAGGGTTTCTTCCTCTTTTTGGTGACAATAGACGGCCCATACTAATCAGGTTTCAAAGTAAATAGCAACGCGGGGCGAGCTCAATGTAAATTGTGCCTGTCAGAGTCCCCCCCCCCTCTCTCTCCTCCCAAGCCCCCTCCAGTCGTTCATGCTCACACTGTAAAAAATATCCATCCTCAGACAGTTCAGCACCGAGGCTGGAAAATCCTAGATATAGATAAGGAGCGAATGGATGTTGGATCTTGCTCTTTGACCGCTTTTCGATCGGAAGATGTAAATTCCTTTTCCATTTTATTGTTATTTTTTTTAATAAGAGAATATCCCTAATTTGGAATATTATAAGACAACATGCTATTTATCACTTGTAGCGGTAGAGAAAATTACGCGGAACTCTGCAATGCGCGATTGGTGTTTATACTAATAAAATAGAGACAATTTTGCGATCCAATATGAGAGCAAATGATTTATCTAGTTGGATATTTTTTGCAGCGCTCTAACGGAGGAGGGGGGCTCTAACCAATGGAGAGAAAGAGAGGGCTTGGCTATAACCTTAGCCTCCCATTTTCTCTCTCCCTCTATCCCCCCTCCTCTCCTCCTCCTCTATGCAGGGCTCTGGCCAGTCAGTCCTCTTTGATTATCAGTCTCCAGCAGCCCCTCTCTTGGCTCCTTGACATGAGCACCATATAAGGCGCAGCGATCTCCATAGAAACGTGTCAGTTTCAATAGTAGTGTCAAAGTTCACTATATACAGACATTCGCGCAGATCCCCCGTTTCGGAAACATTGCTCTGCTGGTCCTCTCGTTTAAGCGCATTCATTTTTGGGGGTCTCTCCTTCTTGTTCTTGCATATCCTATTAGTACTAGTTGGCGTTTTTTCTTCTTTTTTTCCTTTTTTCCTCAGTCTTTTTTCCTCTTCGTATCCCCGTTCCTCCCCGCTGGAGAGAGGTGAAACTATACATGGGTACTTCATTCGGCGACGCGGTTCTCCTTCGCAGCTGGGCGAGATGATGAGGTTTATTTAAGAATATAGATGTAAAAAGCCTAGCTCTTCAGTTTTTTTTTTCTCCTCCTCCTCCTCCTATACGACGAAGACGGGAGAGTAAAGGAGCAAGGGGAAGAAAGGAGAGAGGAATTTATCTCCGCAGCACTTTGGATCGCGTCTTTCCAGCGACAAGGTTTTGGTTTTTTTACACGCTCCTGCCTTTCTTTTGTGGCTATTTTTTTTATCTGACTGTATTTTTTTACGTCTGGACTCGGGTTTTCCTACAAGATTAGGGATTCCTGAATGGCTGACTGCAATTTACCTTGGAACTGGCCTCCCGATACTTGCATATCCTGATCGGGTGCCTTCTGATTTTTGAATGTATTGATCGCGTTTGCTCTCTCTCTTATCACCCATATGAGATTGCGTGCTTCGATTTGACTTTGCACTGTCCCATCTTTTGAGATTTTTTTTTTCTTCCTTCTCTACGCTCCATAAACATCGGCGATCATTTCGCTTTACAGCACTTTCCGGGGCCGAGATATGGCAATGGTAGTTAGCGTCTGGCGAGATCCGCAGGAAGACGTGGCCGGAGGACCTCCGAACGGCCCCAACCCAGCAGCGCAGCCGGCGAGGGAGCAGCAGCAGGCGGCGTCGGCGGCGCCGCACACTCCGCAGACCCCCAGCCAGCCGGGACCCCCGTCAACGCCGGGGACCGCCGGGGATAAAGGGAGCCAGAATTCCGGACAGAGCCAGCAGCATATTGAATGTGTGGTTTGCGGGGACAAATCGAGCGGCAAACACTATGGCCAGTTCACCTGCGAGGGATGCAAAAGTTTCTTCAAGAGGAGTGTACGCAGGAACTTAACGTACTCATGTCGTGCCAATAGGAACTGTCCAATTGACCAGCATCACCGAAACCAGTGCCAATACTGCCGGCTGAAGAAGTGCTTAAAAGTGGGGATGCGGCGGGAAGGTGAATATATGTTTTAAAGCCCCACTCATGATTACGCATCCTAGAATAGCAGCAGCAGTGAGAGGGCTGCCATGTTGCATTAAGGTCACAGGCTTTATAGCTGGGCATAGGCTATAGCTACTACTATATTCTCCATCCATGTTTGGTTTATTTATCTAATTTGGCGGGATGTTTACATGGAGGGCTGGTGTTTTAGGGTTTTGCGTTGGGGTGTGTTTTGGAGGTGAAAGGCCAGTGCAGCGGCAGTTACATGCCTGTGAATGCAAGTCGCCTGAACAAAGCGGCTGCTCTTGTTAACCTCCATTTTCATTTATTTTGGTTTATCTTTCAGTTAAAAACTCTCCATCTCCCTGCAAATCTAATTCACGTTGAGGTTCAGCGTAGAATAGTGAATTTACGCGTATAATTGCAAGCGTTTGTATTCACCCTTTGGTGTGTGTGTGTGTGTGTGTGTGTTAGTGTTTATGTTTGGAGTTTGAGTATCAGGCTTATAGTCCCTTTTCGAAGTCCCCTTAAGTAATCCTACTAATTTACAATTACACAACAGGATTTCTACGTGGAATGTGTGTGTATAAATGTGAAAATGAGCGCACAACAAAGCCACGTCTCTGTGCTGACTGGGCAGCTCAGACACACTGAATCACGTCGTTCAAGTTGTTCATGCCTCATTGTTTTTGCTTGCTTTGCATTTGAGGCCATCTAACTTTCCCCTCTTTGTCAACAGTTTTTTTCTTTATTTTTTTCCAAATTGACAAAGACACCCCCTACATTTAACTTAGCTGTTATTTGACGTGCACACCAAATCCCCCCTATATTAATAATTTATTAAAGTAATACGCATGAGCTAAATTCCCTTCTTATTCCCAGCTGACCTTTAGGCTTGGATAAAATATGAAATTATGCTGATAATTTTAGAACAATTGTCCTTTATATTTCGAACCTGCATGGCCAAAAATAAGCAATAGTTTAAGTAAAACTAAATTAATAAATTACGCATAAACAGAATGTAGACTATTGAAATATTGCTAATAGCGAAACATGGATGTAATTTATGTGTGAATATATTTTCACATGCATAGAAACCAGCTGTACAGCCTGTATCCTAATATTACAAATTCAGAGTGAAGATTAAGTGATACAGGACATATTTAATATCTTGTCCTTTATGGGATAATTTGCTTTAAAGAATGTTTTTTTATTGATTTGATTTTAATTGCATGACATTTTTATAAATAAAAAAAAAAAAGAAGCACTACTCTTGGACAATGTTTATCAGTCCTGGATGCACATTTCCTCTTTTTCTCTTTCTTTTTGTCAGCGGTTCAGCGAGGAAGAATGCCTCCAACCCAACCGAACCCAGGCCAGTACGCGTTGACGAACGGGGACCCCCTGAACGGCCACTGCTATCTGTCAGGATACATCTCATTACTGCTGCGAGCTGAGCCTTACCCGACCTCTCGGTACGGGAGCCAGTGCATGCAACCCAACAACATCATGGGCATCGAGAACATCTGCGAGCTGGCGGCACGCTTGCTCTTCAGCGCCGTGGAGTGGGCGAGAAACATCCCCTTCTTCCCCGACCTGCAGATCACCGACCAGGTGTCTCTTCTCAGGCTGACGTGGAGCGAGTTGTTTGTGCTTAACGCGGCTCAGTGCTCCATGCCTCTGCATGTGGCCCCTCTGCTCGCTGCGGCGGGCCTGCACGCTTCACCAATGTCCGCGGACCGCGTCGTGGCTTTCATGGACCACATCCGGATCTTCCAGGAGCAAGTGGAGAAGCTCAAGACCCTGCACGTAGACTCGGCGGAGTACAGCTGCCTCAAGGCCATCGTGCTTTTTACATCGGGTGGGTTGTCCAGAGCACTGCCTCGCACAAATAGGGACACACTTAAACACAGATGGACATGTTTAGAATGAAACGATGCCTGCTTCTGGTCGTCACATGCGTGCAAAGGCATCAGGAACATGGCTGTCAGGCAGCAGCTTAGTGCTAGAGATGTTTGTGTGGCCGATGAAAGAGCCATTTTGTCAACAGCTTGCTTGATATCCACTGACATGCATTCCCATGTCAAATGCAGCCGCAGCATAAGACGAGTAAACAAACCCAGATTGAGTAGTGTATCAAGTTTAAGTTGAAAGCCCATTTAAATAGGAGATTATGTACAATCGCATCATAATCAAGATATAATTTCGGAGGGATTTAAAGTTTTTTTTTTTTTTTTCTACCAAAACGTCTTAACTGAAGCCGAGGGTTCCCGTGTCCATTTTGGAACAGGTGTCAAATAATTGAGCGTAAATAAGAAAAAAGTCTTTGTCAGTGGGTGATTTATGACAGCTGATGCGTTTATGAGCGTGCCTGTTCGCTTTTATCCGTTTTTTTTTTTTCCGTGAGCAAACACATGTCTTCGGGGGCAGGAAATAATCCCTAACAGACTGAGATATATATATATATATATATATATATATATATATATATATATATATATATATATATATATATATATATATATATATATATATATATATATATATATATATATATATATATATATATATATATATATATATATATAAAAGAAAAGGGCTGATGGAAGTTGACTCGCATATGAGTGCACACGGAGCTGCACTTAATAACACAAGTTATTAGTAGATTAATCTTAGCTGACCCATTAATTTTCTTACTTACTGAGGATATTTTCTGGGTTGTACAGCTTTGAAAAGTAATCAGCGGCACTTTTCAAAAGTAACCTACATTGTTGATAGCTTAATTGATGCCTGACTGGGGTACGGGGTCCTTAAATGTCCCTACTTACTCTCAGCTGCGTAATTTAGAGGCTATTTTGGAGTTATTTGTGTGCGCCTGGTGCTATTAGGGTCTGTAATGTCTGGAGAAAAGGAAAACGAGCGTCTAAACTCAGAAAACTACTGATAAAGTTTGGTTAAAGTTTTAAACTAACATTCATCTAGTTTGCAATGACACTGAACCAAGAGTTACATAACCTGTCATTGGATATGATCATAAGTATTCAGCTGAACTTCTTTATTATTATTAGGGGATTTTAAAACAATTTTATCCAATATTCTTGTAAAAGAAGACGCACTTTAGCATATTTTAGTAATTAGAATTTTATTTATATATATTTTTTGAGAATTAACATTAATTATTTCACTTTATATTATATTATATTATTTGAAATACAATGCAGATTGTTCATAATTAGATGCGTTTAATTTTTAATTATTTATCAACTAATATATATATTTTTTATCACGGCAAATTAACCTAGAAATTTTATTCTCTAAATTGCATGTAAAATGAATTATATTTAAAATATATATATATATATTGTCGTGGTACTATTTTCAAATGTAATTTATTTAATTATGTTATTAGAGAGTAGGCAAATGAATAGCCAACTGCTCAGACTAATTTCAAAGGACATCCGGTGTATTTCTAGTTTAATTCCCGGTCTCAATGTGAAAGGAAAGTTTTTGGGGGGTGATTTTTGGTTTGTTTATATTTGACTTTATCACCTTGGTATTGAAACAGTTTGTGAGTAAGATGTACAGAAATCCATCCAAGCAAGAGAAGCTAAACACACACACCCACATGCACACATACATACCCACACATTAGCGTTCCCCCATGTTTTCCAACAGATTATTTAGTTAGTGTGATGAGCTACAAAACTGGTGTCGACTCTAGAAAGTCACGTGGCACTTTGCCAGGATCAGAGTAGATTTGTTTGCCTCCCATAACACAGCAGCCCTGTCAGTATAGCATACATGAATAACGACTGACCAGGGGAAACTGTTTTCTCCAAAGATCTGATCATTGTCCTGCATTGACTTCTCTTGCAACCATGTTTGCACAGACTGCTTTGTTGGGTTCTACAGAACTCTTGGTCGGGATATGAAGGCTATATGCCCCCCTGCTCCAGTCGGTTGGTGGGGTATATTAACAGGGTGCCCTTGTGGAGAACTATGGATTGTCTTTGACCGACCTTCTCCTCGTGCATGCATTGAGTTTTTTTATTCTCTAATATTGCAAAATTCATTTTGGATCTCTGCATGTTTTGTCTCAAAATAATTAATTTAAGAACCGCATCGATCGGTGCCGTTTTTGAACAGACACTCAGAGCGATTTGCATACATGGGGGCTGTGAGTGGCCGGATTGAGGTCACAGTAAATCACAGGGAGATCTCTGGGTTGCCCTCGAGTTCATGGGGTTATTGTGTCTGGGCCATAGTGAGTTATAGTGAGAAATTAAGAATGGGCTCCAAAGCCTCTGTTTAGCCGCTTATAGAGCTGAGTGCCTGTCTTTCATTTGTTTTTGTTTTTTTTTTGTTTTTTTTTTACAAAAACAACACTGAATACAATGACATGTCTGAGGATTATTCTTTTAGGACCATGCATGTCAGCGGTTACACCACTTTATAAGTTTGGTTTGATAGAAAAAAAAAAGTTTTTTCACGGCAGTGAAGGAGAGAACGTGTGTATGACACAAACAAGCCTTGTGTCCCCTTTGTGCGCCCTAAACAGAGTGTTGACAACAGAGGCCACCAAGCGCGTATCCCCATGCTTTCATTTTTCAACATTTTCATGTCGCTTCTGTGCGACGCTGATTCCTGCACCCTCCTCTGATAAATCTGATCGCTGTTAACAGGCCTGTCCTATTGGCTACAATCTGGGAAGAAGAAAAAAAAAAACAGGCCAAGAGTGGTCTTTGGAGAGAAGAGCCGGCGAAATCACTTAACAGCTTACTGCAGAGTAATTAGGTCACATTACATCCAGTGTAATTTCAGATTCATCAGTGCCGTTTACACTTAAATCCCCCGAGCTCAGACATAAAGAGCAGCGGCCTTTGGGCCTGCATGTAGCCTACCTTATGTTGTTTTTTTGCCTTTTTTTTTTTTTTTTTTTTTTTTTTTTTTGTTATTTCTCAAAACTTTCCCCCTCAAACACGCGTACTGTACCAAATAGTACTTCTAAATTGTCGCTGGTTGCGCTGGACTGTGCATCGCTTTTTCTGCAGCAGCATGCTCTCTTTGTTTACCCTGTATGACAGTGAGTGTGATGCAGCATGTTTGGGCAGCCTTGTTCGTCCAAACCACATTGTCAAAAACACGTGATTACCAAATACATTACACACGACTCAAGCTGGGTATGAAAGGGTGTGCGTTTAAAAAATAAGTCAACAGGCTTTCCTAAATTTCAACCTGGACTATATTTATCATTAAAAAAATCTCATAAATAGTTTAAACCATTAAAAGAAGGCCTTTGCATTCTGAATGACTTGTATCTACTCTAGCTCTGGCATACAGGGCATATCTTTGAATCGCAAATTTTTAGATTTTGCTTAAATTTTAAGATCTCTACTCTGCATATGGCACCCCAGCTGATTACATTGTGTGTGTTTGTCCGTGTTTTTTCTTCCTTAGACGCTTGCGGCCTGTCAGATGCCGCTCACATCGAGAGCCTACAGGAGAAGTCGCAGTGCGCCCTGGAGGAGTACGTCAGGAGCCAGTACCCCAACCAACCTAGCCGCTTTGGCAAGCTCCTGCTGCGGCTGCCCTCTCTACGCACCGTCTCCTCCTCGGTAATCGAACAGCTGTTCTTCGTTCGCTTGGTAGGTAAAACTCCTATTGAAACCCTCATCAGGGATATGCTATTATCCGGGAGCAGCTTCAACTGGCCTTACATGTCCATCCAATGATCCTTATATGACAAAAAAAAACAGAGAGGAGGAGGGAAAAGAGGACCAAATTTCAGCACCCCCAATCCTCCTTCAAGAAGACTATATATAGGACCGTTTTTTTCTGAGAAACTTTGCGGAAGACATTACTTTTTTTCTGTCTTCTGGGACTGCGATGGATTACATTATGTACAGAAAAATATTGGAACTGGACTTTGCGCCTGTGTAAATCCGCATCCATCATCTTCAAGAACAATACTCTTCATTTTGTAAAATACTAGTCTTTATTTTCTTTTTTTTTTTGTAAAAAAAAAACAAATAAAATGGAAAAACATCATATGCGCAGTAAGAAAAAAAAATTGAATCAAGACTTAGCGGGAAAATAATTTTTCCAAGCAATTATAAGAATTGTCCTGTGTCTATGTACCTCTCTGTTTTGTATTTTTTCTGGTTATAAACCAGGGTTTCTGTGATTCTATACTAATAATTTTTTGATATAACCTTTTGCTTCTTATAATGAGTGCGATATATGTTGTCGAAGCTATGTTCTCCAGGAATTAAAAATTGAAGTGAGAATTTAAAAGAATAAGAAAAACAAGACAAATAAAATGAATTTAGACGAATAAGAAACAGTCTTCGCTGTGACAATATCAACACTGATGGTTGAACTTTTTATTCTATTTAATTTTTTTTATTGCATCCCCCCACCCCCAACCCAAACTGATACGATGGACCTGCAGCAGAAGCAGCAAAAACAAAACTGACCTCCAGGACGTTTTTACTGACATTTTTACTCCGTCTGGGGCTCCCCCCACCCCCCTTCCTTCCATTCCCTCTCCTGGACCATGAGTGTGTGTGGAGTCGATCATCAGTCACATGAAACAAACAAACAAAAACAAAAAAATGGTGAGACATGAAATTCAAAAAAGCACTTTTAATATATCATTTCAAATACATTTTGTTTGTTTCGTCTTGAAGATTTTCGTTGTTTTCTTGAATTTTATTGGTTGTTGCCTTCAATTTTGCTTACTCCATGATGCAGCTTTCATTTTATTTTTTATTTTATTTTTATTTTATTTTTTTGGCAGAAGGGTCGGTTGATGAAGTTGTGTGATGGTGACTGTACTATTAAAAAAGTAATAGGCAACGATGTCTCACTCTCAAGCATTTTCCTGGGGATCAAATGGGGGGTTTTAACCAACCAGAGGGAATGTGCTGCTTCTTTCATGTGTGCTGCAGCTACAGTTGCTGAAACCATTGTTAAAACCTACCTGTGAAAATAAATTGTTATGCGGGATTAAAGGGGGGATAATAATTATACAATAGAGGCACATATTACATGCGGGAAGAGCCATGACATAACTGGATACAAAAACAAGGAGACAATGCCAGCCTGTGAGGGCATTAATGTGTAATATTTCCCCCATAGGGACGCCTCTAACACAGAGCCCCACTGTAACCTTCCTCGTGTGGCTTAATCAAGGTGATTCTCTGCAATACCCTCCACCCATTCTTAAAATAAAAAGAAATAAATAAATACTCTGCGCTGAGAGCGCATTGCATGCTCTGTATTGACGTGGGCTTTATTTGGCAAAAAGGGGTTATGGGGCCCCCGCTGCAAAGCTGCTGTGATATGCGTGATCAATCTGGAAAATGTATTTTACAGCATGTAAGCCAGTCGATAGGAACACCGAGTGTGATGCATTGTGTGGAAATAGAGAGGCAGGGAGGGAGGGAGGGAGTTCTGAGACAAACGAGAGGATATGCGTGTTAGGAGAAAGTCATGTGTATGGCGGTGTGTGTCTGAGTGTGTGTGACAATAAAAAAGAGATGTGGCCTTGGTTTGCTTGATACAGCCAGAGAGTAATGAGTCCATCGATAAGTCCTCAGTGTGTGAGATGGGTTGTTCACTATCACTGCCCTTGCTTTGGTCTATCTCTTTGCTGTCTTTGTCTCCATTTACGCCCCTGTTGACAGAAGGGAAGCCAAGTTATTTACCTGCACTTTTATTACAATCGCAGCGTAAGGAGTGATAAGATATTGCTTAAAATATATGGGGTTTTTTGGAGATACATATGAGTTAGATTTGACATTTCTTGAATTCATGAGATTAGCTGCTTCTATGTCATTTTCCCCAAACCTTTGTGTTCAGTTTTGGCAATGATAAAAAACTGCAGAGTAGGGATGTGATATATGTTATCCTGTTTAATTACCAGCCCTGTGTTTTGAGTGCAACTCCCATTTATATGTTATTTTTTGCACGGCCTACCTCCTAAAACACTTCGAGAGTGTAACCAAGCTGTATTTGTAAGACTGTCTGACAAAGAAGGTCTGCTTAAATATGCGTTATATCCACTGAAAGTACCTGCAAAGCAAAAAAAAAAAAAAGAAGAAAAAAAAAAGAAAAAAAAAAAAGGTATTTTCTTTACTATCTGTGAAGTTTCTTTGCTGTTTACTTTAGGAAGTTGGGAAGTCTTTCACTTACTGCAAATGCTCTTAACTCAACTTAGCCGGTGAAAAAAAGGCATTTAATGGAAAATAAAATTATTTAAAAAAAAATTAGTGATATTTAACTTGAAAGGAGCTATTTCTCTGTAATTATTTTTTTATTTCAAATGTAGATTTTGAATTCACACGATAACAGGTAACGATTATATATGGCCATCACGCCCCATTTGTTTATGTTGTTGTGTTATTTAATGTAGATACGAATTTAGTGTGTTTGCAGGATTATTAAATGTAGCTTTCAGCTGCTTGTCTCCACATAATGTATTCAGAATCCCCTCCAGAGTAACTATCTTTTATCCTCTCGCTGAGAGCATTCTGTTCTACAATTGTTACACTGCAGGCTATATAAAGCGGCGGTTCAAAAAACACATGAAAATGGTGGCATGTGTTCCTAATTAACGTTTCAGTTATAGGCAATACAAATCAAACATGTGAGGACCCTGGAAATAAACGGATTTTTGCTGAGATACTTCATTTTTATTATAAAGACTTTTCCCTCGTGTAATGTTTTAAATGTTAAAAAAATAATAACGTGTAATTTTTTAACATTTTACATTAGCTGTTATTAATTAAACATTAATTAGAAGGAAATACCTGCACTGTCAGGTTATCTGCGGTGGGTAGAAGGAGATGGATATGAGGAAACGCCGGTCACCAAAGTGTTACAGCGAAATGAGTTAAATAACCATTTACCTTTGTCTGGTTTCATTCATCAAACCACAAGTGGAGTACTCCCAACACGGGTGGGGGCTATTTGTTTGCTTTTACACAAGCAGCTGGGTGCGATTTCACGTTTGAGATATCTGTCTGAAAGCGAAACATTTATTATCCCAAGTTGTCAGGGAGCCCTATTTCTCCTGAACCCCTCGATGCAGACCGGTGTTGCAGCGTTCTGCAGCGGTGGAAAAAAAAAAAAAGAAAGAAAGAAAGAAAGAAAAACGTCCTATTTGGCGTCACACGTCACTACTTTTCACTTAGAAGAAACAGCAGCAGCAGCTCGCTCACATTTGACAAATACGGCTGTTTGAGACAATAACAGTTTCCAAATAGCCGGGGCTCCCGCGTATATAAACGATTGGGAGCCCCCCCTCTGAAGTGTGACGCGGCTTATTTCTCATATTGTCATATGGTTAAAAAAAAAATGACAACAAGTGCTTCAGCATTATAGCTCATCCATCCACCTGGGTGTTTCAAGGTGGCTGGGAACTGATGGCCAATGCTTGTGTGAGGGGAGAGATGCGTGCCACATTTTAGCATCCAGACACATCTAGTTGCATGAGCTCTATATAGAGTTGGTGGCATAGATCAGTCCGCAGACCACACAGGCAACCTTTAAGCCATGGATCAAATCCAGTCCTTCTGGAGCAGCGAATTTAACACAAGGGACGCCTCCCTACTTATACGCGCACACGCCCGACTGTTGGAACTATGGCACGCACAATGTATGTCTGCGTGCGCCCGTGCGTATCCACAAACCGTACGTAAGCGTATGAGCCAAAGGGAGAGAGGGAGAGATGATTGTGAGAAAGCCTGTGGACCGCTGTGTAAGCGGATCTTTTTGTGTTGATTTAGGAAGACGTTTGCTGTATATAACGTTCAAGGCTGATAATATCATTGCCTGGTCAGATAAATAAACCATTGGCCAAAACCATCGGGTCAGCTATCGATCCGCTTTTCTCCCTGAGAGAGCGAGAAGGCGGGGTGGACAGGAGGAGGGTGACGAGGAGGGGGAGAAAGGGGGGAGAGAGAGAGAGAGAGAGACCTCGCTCATTAGCATTCCACAGCCATGGACTAAACGCTGACAACTAACAGAGATATCCAGCTCTACACCACTGCATGCACCCCCCCACCCCCCGGTCCTTCATTTCCAGCGGACAGATCTCTCGTCACAGCCAGCGCGTTTTTATTTATGCCCTCTTCACTCCTTCTTGCGCGAATGGACCCTTAGACAAGAGAGAGAGAAAAGAGGGAAAAAAGCCTCTAGAAAAGTAAGACAGAGAGAGAATGTGGGGGGAAAAAGAGGGGGGAGTGATGTTGTAAAAGCTGTGCAGAAGTGACAGCGCTAAGCGCACCGGCTTTGCTTGAGAGAGATACAATTGTGTGTGACGTGACAAAGTGGTAGACGTTTTAAATTGCGTCCTGAGACGGTGTTACTCGGACATTTGACTGATAATAGCCCCAAAATAAAGGATGGAACTAACCAGCATTGTTTTATGGTGTAGAAGGATTCTGAGCTTCGGTTTAGTTATTTATTTATTCATTTTTCTTATTGAAACTATTCCAGGATAATATTCTTTTATGTTTCACTCAAAATTAATTATATAAATAACTAAGTTATTAGATAAATTAATAAAATATGTGGAATATGTGGTTGACCAAAAATGGCAAGTTTAACATGGACAAATCCTGAAAATATAATTAGTTATAATATTATGAAATAGATCAACCTAAAACAAACAAAGATTAATCTTTCAACGAGTTGTTAGACACCCCCACACCAGACGACTACATCTTAATATGCGCTCTAGTCGAGCCCAATAATGACAGCTGTTCATCTGATAGTAACTTCTTTCAAAGTTTTTTTTTTTCTTCCCCTCCCTCTCCACCCAAAAGTCCCCCCACCCCACCCCACCCCCGGTCCCTGTCTTGCTTTGTTGTTTTAAAATATGCATGTCTCTCTCCGGAATGCCAGTCACGGGTCCAAACTTTGTGTGTCCCAACCTCCCACATGATGAAATGATCCTTTTAAAAGCGAGCTCAATATGTCTCAATCTGCAATCCTCTCCCTCCTCTACCAAAGCCTTCTGGGGTTGGGGACGCAACACAAAAATAAATACATAAATAGACTGTGTCCATGTAGCCTACGGTATATCTCCAAGTTAAAGCGCACTTTACTGTGGACATTTTTTGGAAGCGCTCAAAGACTCGGCTGGATCAAGACAAGTTCTGTCAACGACGTGTGGATAAAGATTCATGGCAGGAAAAGGGGGAAAGGTAAGGCTAATTTTGACGCGCTCATTCTCTTCCACACACACACCCTCTGTGCATGTGTGTCTGCGCTTTTGATGTGCGTGTGTGTTCCACGGCCTGAAACGAATAGGGAAAGTGTGAGAATATATATATATATATATATATATATATATATATATATATATATATATATATATATATATATATATATATATATATATATATATATATATATATATATATATATATATATATATATATATATATTACTTGTGCAGATGCATGCACTTTTATCTGCACACTCAGTGTGTAACTTTCTGCTTCTGCTGCCAACAGTTGTTTGCATGGATGCTGGGGAAGTAAAACCGCACTATATACCAAGCAGGAAGAGCAGTAAAAGAAAAGGCTTAGGTTTAAAGGGGAAAATTTGAATTGGATGTTTAAGCCAGCGGCTTAAGTGGAACTTCTAACTCATTCTGTCAGAGTAGGAGAGTGTGTCTTAGCCAATATGGAGGAAACAAATGTAGGAGATGATGACGATTGCAGCTGCAGGAGCAAGGGTTTGAGTTCATGCCTGTTGCTTCTACTTCAATAGTAACATCCAGTGAGTCCTGTAGCATCTCATCACCACCATAATCCACTATTACCAAAAGGAATAAACAATGTAAACACACCGGGAGACATTCGGAAAGCAGCAACAAACAAATTGAATGTAATCACTTTGTTCATTTATTAAATTGAGACACGTTTTAATAGACATCCCCAACAGTCTGATTATGTCAACATATGGGAGGGCCGCGAACGCAGCAAGGCCTGGGCTTACATACCTGATAACGCCTGGGCTTTTCAGGCAATATTTACGGCTTTCTCTTTCTAATACGCTCCAGATGGTGTGTGCGTGTGGGCGTGTGTGTGTGTGTGATGTCACCGCAGTCTGCGGACTCCTCGATGTTTCACTCAGCTGCATTTCACTGCAATCAAATGAATAGCCTACCTATAATTTATTGTTGACCCACTTTCATTGAGTTTGGTTTAAACGAACTGCGTACAATAAAACAATATCGACTGACCAAAGTTGTCTGTGCGCATGCGTTATCTGTTTACTTTTAAGGTAAATTAATGTATTCAGAAAGTCATATTAAAATAGGCTCTTCAAATCTTCCCACTTCATGGTGCGATGGATTAATATGTTATATAGACAAAACACACAGGCTGCATTCATGCCTGACCAATCTTTGTTGGTGCCTGCGCGCTTTTTTCAGCAAGTCACTCAAGCAGAATAATGCGTGAAAAGATATAATCCACTGAGCCCACACCCTCTGCAGTCCTCTGCCATATTATCCTCTGACAATGGATTGGCAAGCTTTTCAGCAGGTATCCAAACTCCCCTCTAAATGCAGGCCAAAGACATTTGTTGAAGGTTTGACTAATAGACTCATTCATTTTCTGCAATATTAGATGTCCTATCTATCTATCTATCTATCTATCTATCTATCTATCTATCTATCTATCTATCTATCTATCTATCTATCTATCTATCCATCTATCCATCCATCCATCCATCCATCCATCCATCCATCCGTCCATCCATCCATCCATCCATCCATCCATCCATCCATCCATCCATCCATCCATCCATCCATCCATCCATCCATCTGCTAATTTTGAGCAGTATATATTTCATTATATCTGTGTCATTTGGGTAAATTTCAGAAACTATGTAACTTTCTGGTTTCTAAATTAAATAGGTTGTTGTAAGAATGCTTATATATAATTTTGCTCTTTTGGTTTTTCATGGTATGTCAGAAAGAATAAAAAATGACAGCTGGTTTGTGATTAAGAAGCGAACAATTACTGAAATGATAAAAAGGTTTTGAAAAAGATTCTAAAAAGCTGGTATGTGCAAACCTTTTCTCACAGTTAAGATATGTTATTCATTGGAATTGTCTGCCTCAAGGTTAGGAAGCATGGCTTGCTAGTATTATTTACTTTAGCACGAATGCTTTGCCAAACAACTTTAGGCATACATCATTGAAATAGTTAGGAGATTAATTAATTCAATTCCCCCTTCAAAATGTTGCATTTGAAGAGCAGATATGTTATATTAATCGGGTTTAAGGCATCGGTTTGCTAGAAATTGTGGCTTTAGCATTAGTTTTGTTGCAAAAATAACCCAGAGACAAAAGGTACTGAAATAGCAATAAATATCTTTTTTTTTATCTTAAAATTGGAATGTAAACCCTGTTTCCCAAAACCACAGTTATGATGTGATGTTACAGTCATCTTAATGTGAAAAAGGTCAGCTGGCTAACAGGTTTCTTTTCAGTAATAACAATAGCTAAATTCGTTCAGACCTAAAATATAACTAAAACATGCAGTAAGACTCTAAATTTATTTGACAAAAGCTGGTATAAGAACATTTTCTTTAAAAGCTTTGCTAAAATATCCCATTTACAAAGCTTTCCTGCTGACCTTAACAGCAGTGCTTTCACTAAACTCAATGGATCATAATATTTAAAACTTATAAACATACAAAAAAGTGGATTTAAATAGTTCCCATGACAACCATAGTTATAAGATATTCAATGGCACAGAATACATTAGGGTTACAAAGCTCAGGTTGGTTGCAAGTGCAACTTTATGTTAATGGTATTGCTGAACTGGTTGCAGGTGGAAAAGCATGTGCAGCAGAAAACTTTTAACAAATCTCAACTTCCATAAAGCATTTATGTTCATTCATAATAAAACTCATGACAAACATACCAGCCTTTCTTAAACCTTTACTAAATAAAGCAGAAAGCTAATATTAAACATATGATTTAAATAATTAATACATTTCATCAGTTTATTTGTAATACTCATGTTAATAGTGTATTATAAACCAAAGGGGTAAACAGGAAGATATTTTTATATGCTTCAGTGTGCCGCTCCTGCAGCAGTAAGGTATCCCCTGTAGTCTGTGCCTGTATCGTCCCCTTTCTCTCTCTCTTCCTTTCTGTCTCCAGCTCCTATCCACCTCACAAGAGACGTTGATAAATATGTGTCTTTTTTACATCTTACTCAGCGCCATCCATCAAATCTCTGTGTCCATGTTGCACGTCTTAGCTTGAAGGAAGCAAGAGAAGGAGGCCAGCAGGCGCGCGGAAAACACACTAAAAAGCGACAACAAGGAAGGTGTTGTTTTCAATATACAAACTGAATAATTACCGTGTTCTTGGTGAGAATTATCTGAACTCAGGCCATATGCAGGGCTTTATGCTCTGGGGGAAAAAAATGCACCGGTCAATGGTGTGATTAGTTGGGTAAATAACTTCTTTACGCACGGTGACTAGTGCGTTTTGATTCATGGATGGATCATATATTATAATTTGTGGTTCGGTCAAAGCTTGCACCGTTCTAACCAATAGCGCTGGTTGCAGACTCCTTTGTGGCCACACATACCGCCGCTGTGATTATAGAAGTGCCTCCTCTCCCTTGTTAAAGAAGCAAAGCTCTAATCTAGCTACTGTGTCGCCCCCCCCAAAGCCGGCGTGCGCGCTATAGTTGAAAATGTGCACGCGGGAGGATTGAGTGGGGGTCGGTCTGAGCGAGAGAAGAAGGGAAGGGAATGGTGTAGAGAAAAAAAGAAAGAGAGAGAGAATGCGGGGGGATATAACGGAGTGGCCCTTTCCCTCGTTTGAGTGACACGACCCCTCTCTCCTCTTCAAAGGCCACGCAGAAATAAACGCATCTCATTTGAATTCCGATTTTTTTTTTCTACTAGCTGGTATTTTACAGCCAAGATTTCTCCAATAGGAATGTGTATTTTATTTTCCTCCCCTTCTCTTCATGCAATATATTGAACTGAGTTGGTTCGTGTGGCAGGGTATTCAATAAAGCTACCCATCTCTCCACATGAAACATTCTGCAGCCAGTGTGGTATTTTATCCACCAATCCCATGCACCCCAACCCCATACACACACACACACACACACACACACCACTCCGTCCAAATTCATTTGCATCCGCTGATGATATCAGTAAAGAATTACTGGCACCATATGAGGCGGTCTAGCTGGGGGAGGGTGTGGAGGGGGGAGAAGAGAAGGCTTATTTGGATAAAACTGGACCGCAGAGTGGACACGGCCCTAAAGGTCAGCCGCCCATTCATGTCAAGGTGGCAGGGGGTTGGTTGGTGTGTGGGTGTGTGTGTGTGTGTGTGTTGTGGAAGAGAGAGGGAAAGGGATTCAGTAAAAGAGGCTTATTTGAAGCGGCCGTATAGTTGAGGCAATGAGAATGAAAAGAAGTGGCCCACAAAGCTCGTCATACTTCAAATACGCTCCATCACATCTTCCCTCTATTTCCCCCCCTTTTCCTGACGGTAGGAGGGTTTGGTCATGTAAGCCGCGGGTGTGGATGCCGTGGCGCAGGCCCGCAAAGCGCACAGCACATGTGGACCAGAGGAGGGGAATCACTGAGGTCTAATAGCTGCACACATGCAGAAGAAAAACGGTTGTTTCCAAGGGTTCTAATGACTCCTTTTGATTTTTATGTGGAATGAATTAAAATAAGAAATCCACGTTTACACTAACAGAGATGGAAAACCTCTTTAAGGTGATGCTTCAACACAGATATTACGATGCAAGCCTATGATTTTCTGATTTGTATATATATATATATATATATATATATCTTACTTACTTATATACTATCTTACTTTTTCTGTATCCAAACCCTGCAAGGGGTTAGATGGGGTAGATTCCAAGTGTTTTTTTTTTTTGTTTTTTTTTTTTTTTTTTTTAAGTAAAATCTCACCAATAACCTTGTGGTGATTACATCATTAGAACAAAGCAGAAACCACAATGCAATTACAGAAATTAAAAAAATAAAAATTAAACCCTAAATCAGAATTTTGTCTTTAATATTAGGCTTTTACAACCATTTTATGTATTTATCAGGGCAAGGTCATGTTTATACAGTATAATAGTACAACTTTATGTCGCTGAACGACATAAAGTTGAAATTTAGTTTTAATTATTATTTC